AACTGTTGCCGTGTTGTTGTTATCAGTATCTGATGTGTGTGTTTCAGCAGTGCTAGAGTCTGGCGGAGGTGGAGACTCTGTGGTAGGTTCAGTTGCAGATTCTGTGTTAGGTTCAGTTGCAGGCGCGACGGTGGGAAGTGGGACTGATGAATACGAGTCCTCCCAAATATCAGTCGCATTCAGGTCAAGAGATAGCTCTTGTAACGGCGAATGAGACGGAGACAATTGCTCTAAAACTGCAAAGGAAAACTTTGTTTCTTGAAACAAGACATCTCTAGAAACTGATATGACTCATGTGTCAACATTATAGACTCGCCATCTTTTCTGTGAAAAAGGATAACCAATAAAGACTGATCGATTGCTACGGGTAGCGAATTTGTCTGCACCATGTTTCTGTTTGTGGACATGACAAAGGCATCTGAAAACACGCAAGTGATTCAGAGGTGGTGGTCGATTATAAACAAGTTCAAATGGCGTTTTGTCATGAAGAAGCTTCGATGGTGTTCTGTTGATCAGATACACAATAACCCAGAACTCGATGGGAAGATTCTCTTGAAACCTGAGAGCTCGTGCAACATTTAGGATGTGTCGATGTTTGCGCTCGACTCTCCCATTCTGCTGTGGAGTTCCGACGCAAGATGTCTCGTGTATGATTCCTTTTTGTGCAAAAAAATCAGTTAAACACACAAACTCTGATCCGTTATCACTTCTGACTGTTTTAACTTGAGTTGAGAATTGTCGTTCAACCAATGAAAGAAAATTCTTACGATGTTGTGGAGCCTCCTGTTTCGATTTCATGAGATAAAGTCAAACAGCTCGCGAGTAGTCATCGACTACAGTGAGAAAGTAACGAGAGCCACAGATTGCAGAGGTCCTATAAGGGCCCCAAAGGTCACAATGAATCATCTTGAAAGCCATACTTGTTTTATTCAAACTCAAAGGAAAAGGATCTCTTGTGTGTTTGGCACGAATACAAATCTCACATGCCTTAGAATCAAAAGAACTACTATAATAATCAGAAAGGTGTAACGACTCCAGAACCTTTGAAGAAGGATGTCCCAGCCGACAATGCCACAGGTCCGTTGAATCCCCGCTATGCATCGTTACAGCAACAGCTATTCCTTGAAAGAAGTACAGCCCGTGTTGTTGATCACCCGCACCAATCAGGGTCCTCGTTATGCGGTCTTGAATAACACAAAGTCGATCAGTAGTCTGTATTACACATCCACTGTCCCTCGTCAGTTGTGATACTAAAATCAGATGACACTTTAAACCATCAACAAAGTAAACATTGTAGAGACAAAGTGAGGAACCCAAATGTGCTATTCCTTAACGACTAGATACTGTATGTCTACCGTCCGGAAGTTTTATCAAAACTGGGAACATGCTACTGATTTCAGAGAGGATATCGATGGTGCCAGTCAAATGATTGGATGCACCTGAATCAATAACCCGAGAGTCAGAGAAATACGTACCACTTAGACGTTCAGCTGGCTGGTGTTTTCGTTCTTCAAGTATTTGAACCAGAGTTTTCCACTGATTGTCATTGAGCCCGCTTATACCCACTCGATCGGAAGCAGTCAAGTTTGCGTGAGCACTAGAATCTCCAATTTCTGCAACGTGATTGGCTCTAGCAGAGTCATTGCTGCGATGTTGCTGAGTTACTTGAGAAGAAGAATTTTGACCAGAACTGGTGTTACTGTTTTTATTTCGTGTCTTGTCCCACCACGGTGGAAATCCAACTTTCCGGAAGCATTGATCAGCGACATGACCTTGACGACCACACAAGTTACAGGAGACCTTGTTCTGAGATGTAGGTCGGGTTTTAGAGTTCGTTTGTTGAACTGCAATACTTACTCCTTCTGTGTGTTCTTCATGTAACCGACCCACCAGTTTGGATTCTTCATCCTGGGTTAGTGCGTTGTATGCGTCTTCAAGTGTAGGTAGAGGAACACGAGACAACAATGCTGATTTCACTGGTCCGTACACTGTTTTGTCCAAGCCCATGAGGAATTGATGCAATTTGTCTTCCTCACGTTCCTTACGGACTTCTTCCATTGTTTTAGCTTGTTGGTAGTCAGCTAAACTTCCCCAAAGATGCGAAAGCTTTCCAAAGCAGGCTTCAATTTGAAGTCCTTTCTGTCGACATGTTGCCAACTCTGTTTTCAGTCGTTGGACTCATTGTCCATTCTTGACACCAAAGCGCTTCTGAACGTGTGTCCAAAGCTCGTGAGCATTATCAATGTGTGACATTGAAGTGCAGAGAGTCTCAGCTATGGTGAGTTTCATCCACGAAACGACTAGGGCGTTATTTGCGACCCAATCTTCATGATCGATTGAATTCTCGTCCTGTTCTGGAATTGAACCATCGACGAAACCAAATTTCATTCGTCCTTGAGATCCAAACGTAAATTGGTGGACCACTCATCATAGTTAGGACCACGCAACAACGGTTTGAGGTGTTTGAGGGACTCATGGTCCGTGTGAATAACAAATTCTTTAGGCCAGAGGTAATGTTGCCACGTTTGTAAGGCTCTCACCAAGGCGTACAGCTCTTTATCATATGTCGGATAGTTGGGCATGGCTCCTCCAAGCTTCTCACTGAAAAATGCTATGGGTTGCTTGTCTTGCATTAGGACTGCGCCAATACCTATTCCTGATGCATCACACTCGATCTCAAAAGTCTTTAAGAAATTAGGCAATATAAGAACAGGGGCGTTAGTAAGCTTCTCTTTTAGGCTTTGGAAAGCCTCTTCCTGAGCTGTTTCCCACTTGAACCCAACTTCCTTTTTGATGACTTCGGTGAGTGGAGCAGCTATAGTACTAAAGTCCCTCACGAATCTTCTATAAAAGCCGGCTAAGCCATGGAAACTTCTCACTTCTCCTACGGTCTTAGGACTTGGCCAGTCACGGATGGCCTTCACCTTTTCCTCATCCATTTTGACTCCTTCTGAACTTACTACAAAACCAAGAAAAACAAGAATAGAAGTGTAAAAAGTACACTTCTTAAGGTTAGCGTATAGTTTTTCTTTTATGAGCAAATCAAGCACTAGTCTAATGTGTTCTACATGCTCTTCTAGACCTTTGCTATAAACAAGAATGTCATCAAAATAAACTACCACAAAGATGCATATATACGCCCTAAGAACATGATTCATTAAACGCATAAAAGTGCTAGGGGCATTAGTCAATCCGAATGGCATAACCAGCCATTCATATAAACCATGCTTGGTTTTGAATGCGGTTTTCCATTCATCCCCTTCTTTCATTCTGATCTGGTGGTAACCACTTTTTAAATCAATTTTGGAGAAAATGTTAGAACCATGCAATTCATCTAACATGTCATCTAGCCTAGGAATGGGATGGCGATACTTCACCGTGATATTGTTAATTGCACGGCAGTCAATACATATCCTCCAGCTACCGTCTTTCTTTGGAACTAGAAATACTGGAACCGCAAAAGGGCTCATGCTTTCATGGATATGTCCCTTGGCCATCAGTTTATCCACCTGTTTCTGTAGTTCTTTGGTCTCCACGGGGTTGGTACGGTAGGCGGGACGGTTTGGCAATGATGCCCCGAGAATGAAATCTATTTGGTGTTCTATACCCCGGATGGGAGGTAGTCCTGTTGGTGTCTCTTCTGGAAAGACGTCTTCATAATCCTGCAAAAGAGCTTGCATTTCACTCGGATACACCAGTGTAAGATCAGCCATGGTGGTTAACGTTTCCTTATAAACAAATAACAGCATAGGTGTTTCAGAGTATAAAGCTTTCTTAACCTGTCCCGCCTTAGCAAAGAAGTTTAAATGTTTTGCTGACCTCATGGAGTGTTTCTGATCATTGTAGACTTCTTGAGGAGTCATGGGAGTCAAAATATTCTTCTTACCCTTAAACTCAAAGGAGTGACAGTTTGAGAATCCATCATGTATCACCCGGCGGTCAGATTGCCACGGCCTCCCTAGCAGGATATGACTTGCTTCCATAGGTAGCACATCACAAAGTATCTCATCACTTAGTACCGATGGCTAATGGTACTAAGACTTGTTCGGTGACCTTCATTTCTCCTTTATCATTCAACCAATGTAACTTATACGAGCTTGGGTGAGGAGTAGCTTGAAAACTCAGCTTCTTGACCATAATACTGCTCGCAACATTAGCACAACTCCCGCCGTCTATGATCAAACTGCAAACCTTTCCCTGAACCAAACAACGGGTGTGAAACAGGTTCTCACGCTGATCTTGTTCCTCCGGCTTGCTTTGTACGGTCAACGTCCTTCTTGCTACAAGTAACTCTCCTTGGAAGCCTTGGCAGATCAGTGGTGATTCTTACCTGTTCCTCGACACCTGTTCCCCTAGACCGAACCTTGAGCAGCTCAAGACGTGACAGTTTTCCTAAGAAATGCTCCACTTGCGCCAACTCACCTGCAGTTCCCCTGTCCAACAATTCTATCTCCATGACCTCAACAGGACATGCCAATAGACAATCATACCCAGACACACACTTGCAAACGTAGTCATCAGCTGTCAATACACAATCGCACTCTAAGCCCGACACACACTCGCAAAGGCAGTCAGGTTTATCAACATAATGCAATCCACCCTGCAACAATACTAGAATTGATGATTGAAGATTTAGGAGTATCTACATGGTTTTGGTAATTTCAAGATTTAAAGAGATGGTACCTTGATGATCATCGTCTTGACATTCGGAGTCGTGTTTAACATAAAGGGCAGAAAGCGCCAGCAACATCGCAGGTCATCCTGTTCGTAAGTTAAATGATGCAAGTTTTCAAACATTGGGATTGCTTCGCGGAAGAAGTAGAGCGTCTGAAATCAGGTAAAAATCAACAAGTAAGCTCAAATATTCTTGGAACAAAAACGCATCAAACACTCATGGAACATACAATGAAACTTAAGATGATGCAAGCCTGATTTTCCTAGTCCATGTGTTTTTATTCTCTCAAGTTGTAACTAGGCATTACTAGAACCAAACACTCACCTCATGAGTCATAGAATATGTAACATCAAGGATCTTAACGTGTCTTATGGCTTTGAGCAGGTTTGTTGGATTGCTGGTTAGAACATCACCATCTTGAGGAAATCTTCCACGCCAGTAGTGATCTACTAGCACCTAAAGCTTGAGAGTAGCTTCCACAAGAGACTCCAGATTAACCCTGGGATAGTCATCAGGAACAAAACCAAAGTATTCTAGATAGGCCACACTAGGAGTTTCAAAACTAATCGCTGAATACTCAGGCCCGTCAAAATCATCGCTCAGATTGCAATGAATCATAAGTCTCTTAAGAGATTGGCTGGAAAAGAAATGCCTTGAAGGCACAATCATCGGGAGGAGCAGAGAACTGAACAGAGTTAAGAATCAGCGTCTCAAGGCTTGGCAGCAAGGCCTTCTCAGGGATCACGCTGATGACGGTTGCTTTCCCTAGCTTTAGCTTCGCAACTGTCTTGCAGCTGAAGAGCTCCATAGGCACTCCATTATCAGCATGTAACCCTATATTGACTTCCACCACACCCCACTTCATCACATTGCACACCCAACCGCTGATACGAGCTTGATCAAGAGCCTTTCGGGATTTAAGAGAGAATCTCCTTATACAGATATCAGCTACCAGCTGAGCCAACGCATCACTCACAACCTCCGAGATAGTCTCCTCAGGCTCAACTCTGTCATCGAACACCAGATCTATGATCCTATAAAGATAACTGAACCTCTTTGAGAGAACCAACATACGTGCGACCTCTTTTGCACCCATAAACCCCACCATTAGCCTGATGATTTCATCTGGTAGACCGCTGATCCTATCCATCTTCTCCCACCAAACCCTAGCGAGAAATTCCATTCCAATCGAGAATTTTGGAATCTATAAGCAAGAGATGATACTGCAATTTCCCAGATTATATCTACAAACCCAGAGACAGGGAGAGTGAACAAAGTGCCCCTTTCATTTGCTCGATTTCAATTGATCGGATATTTCCAGATCTTTCTACGAACAATGAATTTTGCGTTGGAAGACCTTGCTTAAAACGCACCGTTTAGATTAGTTTTTACAATTTACATATCTAATTTTACAGTCTCATTAATTAACGAGTTATTTAAATTAGAATTGTGCATTTAAATTACCCAGATCGGGTTTGGGTTGAATATTCAAAATTTCAGATATTTTAGTATCATCCAGATCGAGTTTGGGTTGGAAATTCCGGATTTCAGATATTTTAGTATCATGATATTTGATATCAATCGGCAGTCGATACTCTTGAAATTCAGATATTTTCGGATTTCAGAAATCCGACAGTCGACACTCTTGAAATTCATTAATTAACGAGTTATTTAAATTAGAACTGTGCATTTAAATTATCCAGATCGGGTTTGTGTTGGATATTCAAGATTTTAGATATTTTAGTATCATCCAGATCGGGTTTAGGTTGGATATTCCGAATTTCAGATATTTTAGTATCATGATATTTGCTATCAATCGACAGTCGACACTTTTGAAATTTAGTTATAATCCAATTTTTTATCAACTCATTTCGAGTTTAATTACTTTTATCTGAAAATATTTGAAATAGATCAAAAATAATCAAAAATACTTGAAAGTAATTCCATATCGAAGATAATTTTCAAATATGAAATTTACTTTTCAACGTCTCAGAATAAAGAAACATATAGAAAATAATTTAAAAATTTTAAATTTATTTATATTCAAAATTTTGAAAGTTGGAAAAACAAAAAAAAAGTGCAACAAATGGCATAATAGGTGAAAGAGGGTGATGGATTTCAGCTTTGAAGTTCTGTAATTCAGCTACTTGTTTGGATTTCAGATTAGATAGGATAATACCCAAAATCTAAAATTCTTTACATATTATTTTCGATCAAGTATTTTTCTAGATCAGAATCCTACTTAGATCAGTTGTTTTTTTAGTTGGTACCAATTCAGGTTTTCAGATCCAACTAAAATGTGCATCCCTAATTAGAACTTTATAAGATTTACCAAAAACTCCCTGATGTAATCGTCTCTCTTTCGCGACCGCCTCAATCTATCTCTCTCTGGATCATCCCCTCTATTTCTGTCCTTGCATGGCTATTTATGATCAATAGTTGTCTCTCTTCTGTTCCCCCATATTCCAGATTCATTAGTTGGTGCGGCTCAAAAAGAGATCGAGATTGAGATCCACACGACGGCGAAGATAGCTCACGAATTCATACCGGAAGTTCCAGACTCCGTCGCCGCCGTTGCAATCGCTCACTCCAACCTAACCACCTCCGTCCTCCAAGAGATTGTCCTCCGATCTAGGATAATCCAAACACTACGACACAGACCCAGATTTCTATACTATTATTGTTATTCCTATAGTTACAATTACGATTATACAATACTATTTTTTGTATTTTATTCTATTATGTGGTAGTATTCACTAGAGCTGTCAGTTTTGTCCGCAGCCCGTGGGCCAGGCCCATTTACGACCAATGAGGAGCGGGCTTGGGCTCAGTTAAAGGTGCCCACCAATAAAGCGGGCTTGCGGGTTAGACCCATGCAGTTTTGCAGGTTGAGCGGGCACGCCTGTCACGGGTTTGCGGGTAAATGGGCAAACCACAATTAAAATCTTGGTTTACTTACACCGGTTTTCTTAACCTGGTTTAGCTGGTTTGGCGTAATTTATTTTGTAAATGGTAACTTAATGTCGAACAATTTTTTTTTTTGAAGAAGGATACTTCATCTTCCTTCTCGTGAATCTCTGATTTCGGGTTGGTATCAAGGCTATCACGCACAGTTTCTCTTTGATTCTGCCATAGATAATCTTGTTCTTCTCTTGTTTCTGTTTAATTTATCCCCTTTTTCATTCTGAAAGCTGCACACTATCATTCTTTGAATTGATCTTCGTCAATTTCTTCAACGATCCAGCCAATAAAACTCAATTTCTTCAGCGATTCTGTCATTATTGATCTTGATTTACTCTTATTTCTTATTGATTTCTTTTGAGAATGGAGATCGATCGGAAATTAGATTAAATCAACATCAGAAATTTCATGCAAACTTTTGGGGGTACAGCCTTGTCTAGCGCTTCTCCGTGTCTCATATTGAGGTAACTATTCGTCTCCTATCGACTTTTTTCAAGGTGTGGAGAAGAGTGTGTGAAAATTAGCGACTTTCTAATTGGGGTTTTTGATTGCGTGTAATCATTGTAAGCATTATAAGCAAGTAATCTTGTGTTTTGATGAGTGCGTGTAACCATTCTAGGATTGTGTTTCAGTTTTGAAGATTCCTCACCATGATTTTGTATGTACTGTGCCAAGATTTCAACTGATTCTGTTTCACTAGCTCGGCGAAAAGCTTGTACGCGTCTCTTGCCTGAAATTTTTTGCAATAAGCAAGTACCAACTTCTCAAATGCATAGCCCCCATAAGAGACCCCATCTTTGCCAACCATCTTCTTGAAACACTCTGCAGGTAGATAAGTTGAGATTCTAAAAAACTGATGTGAGTTAATTTAAGTTTTTAGGATACTGAGAATTGTTAGTATCTTGAACTTGTTCTTGACGGCTGTGTTCTGGAGTCATTTTGCACATGTGATGCTTGGTTTTTGTCTCGGTTTGCGGTTTCATAACACTGTAAGCAAGTTTAATTGGGTCATTTTGCGCTTTGCGATTAACCAGACTTGGAGTCATATGTTTGGTAAGTGCTAAATCAAATGTTGTTTGATTGTGGACATTTGATTTGAAGGTTTTGGTTTTTAACTTTTATGTTTTGGATTTGTTTGTTTCTTTTCTCAGACCTTGTGAATGTGTTTGAGACATTTCTTCCTCAGCTTCTTTTGTATCCAAACGCATCAGATCCATTGAATGGTGAAGGTGCTGCATTGATGATGTGTGATCGTCCTGCTTATGAACAACGAGTTGAAGGTAATTCAATAAAACTTCAGTCTCAAGAGATAAGTTGAGATTATGAGTAACTAATGTGAGTTAATTAAAGTGTTTAGGATACAGAGAATTGTTAGTATCTTGGACTTGTTCTTAACGGTTGTGTTTGGAGAATGTGGTCGTGCCTTTGTAGAATTTTGGACTTAATGGTTGTGTTCTCAACGGTAGTATCTTGGACATGTTCTTAACTTGTCTTTGTAGAATTCATGTTTTATATGCGTAAAGATTCAACTTTCCGTTGCTGATTTTTGCTTTGTATTATTTTTGTTATGAATTAATGATTACGAAGATTAAAAATTCCAGTTAATCGATTTTAGCTTTAAAAATTGTAAAGATTAAAAAATTTAAACTAACTTCAAACCTTTTGCACCAACTAGAGTCAACCTTTAAATAAACTTTTTATGGTAATCCTTCGTATTGTTAACCTAATCTGACTGGTAAAGTTTCTGAAAGTTCTATAGTTTATTCGATACTGAGACAAAAATTGAATCATTGAAGGTTGTTGGAGATTATCGTGAATCATGTTGGACCTGGTAAGTCTCATTCATATCTCTTGTCGTTTAACTCATAATACCATTGATGCTTAGTTTGAACAGAGCTCGTGAATCATGATTCATGTTGGACCTTGTTGTGTTAAATAGTGATTTCATGACGATTTTAATTTTGTTTTTGACAGAACTCAGAAAACTTCACTACTCCGAGATCAGTTGACTACACAACTCAGCAACTTATAGATGTTTTCTATGCTGAATATGAGCTGGACAGTAGTGGATCACAATCACATGGTGGATCACAATCACATAGGATGAATGGTCGCAAAAGAAGGCTCATTGAGGTTAGAGATGATGAAGATGATGAGGAAGAGGAAATCCCCCCCGAACCAATACCTAGGAATCACTTTGGGGTTAGAGCATCTCAAACTCAAAGCAAGAACAAGAAAAATCTCTTTGCTGTTTCTTCTGATGGTGGAAAAGGACGATCCTCTCTGAATACCAGTAAGAAAAAGGTTTTTGAGGCTGAGTCGAGCCAGACAAAGAAAAGAGGAAAAACTGTTGAGACTGAAGATGAATCAGATGAAGAGAAGAAGGAAAACACATCAGATCAGAAAGCACAAAAGCCTAGAAAGCAGTATTCGAAAGCTTGGGATGATTTTACAGTCATTACTAAGTCAGACAGGACAGAAAAAGCACAGTGCAATCATTGCAAAAAAGAATATGCGCATAACTCCCACAAGAACGGTACTAATCACTTACTACGCCATATTCGTGTTTGTAATCTCAAATCTAGG